CGTGTGTGCTCAACAAATTGTTATTACGGGTCTGGGTATCATGTGGATGTTAATTAGTATGTTTGTAAATACAACCACGATACAGGAGAAAAGCCTAGCGTGGGGCAACGTCAAAAAAACATTCCATAAGGACCCCGAATTATTGGCCCTAGCGTAGTCTGAGACGGCCCTGATTATCCTCTCGCGCGCTTCTCGTACACACGGGTAAATATTTTAATAGAAAAGCGAATTAACTATTCTGTTCAATCAAGTAAAGAACGGTTACAATATGTATACGTCACAGAAAAAATATCCAATCGGTGCGCGTTTCTCGTACACCCATGTGTACGAGAAACACGTGAGAGGTTATAGTTTCGAACAACAACGAACATGTTTAGTTTAACTTACTGATAACAGATGGCGTTATTGTGCTTTTAAAGTGTCTTGCCCTTGTGTATTTGCAGTTCTTTGTTAAAAAAGTGCGTATATGTATAAACTGATAAACTTACTTGAGGATAGCCACCATCCACGGGAACTCTCCGAATTTGGTTTCGCCGTTGGCCTCACCAGTCGTACGGAGATCAGCTCCGTCAGGGTTCGCCCAACCGCATCCTTCACGCTGCAATAATAAAATGGGTTTATTTAGTAAGAGATGGAGACAGAATCACGTGGAGGAGTCATGCTTCGGCACGAATAGGTCGGGTCGACCAGATTGATACCATGGCCTCAGAGAAAACCGATGCAAAACAACGCTTGCGTTGTGTTTCGTCCTGTGAGTGAGGTTATCGGAGGCCCAAATTTCCCTCTACTCAATCCCCTATCTCCAACAATCCTCAAATTCCTAATTTCCAAAAGGCCGGTAAAGCACTTTTAACGTCTTTGGAGTTTCAAGTGTCCATGGGCGACGCCGATTGCTTACCATCAGGTGAATTGTCTGCCGACTGCGCTGCTCTTACCAGATTATGACCATGGCCTCACAGGAAACCGGCGTGAAACAACCTTACCATCAGGGACACTTCTACTGATTAGAAAATATATAAAATTCTTCATCCCATAAAACATAGTCGGGTTTCAGGGTCTGTGTATAATGGTATACGAACATTACATTATTTACAAACACACACAGGACACAGGAGAAAATCTAATTTGGAGCTACGTGTTAAAATAAGAAACTTACAATACCGCTCAAAAATAGTTTTTATAAAAACCAAACTACCAAACAATATTTGAACTAACCCATGTTTGGTAGTTGATATCATCATCATCATCATCAACAGCCTATAAAAGCCCACTGCTGAGCAAAGCCTCTTCTCACACGGAGAAGGTTTGACCATAAATCACCTGAGCCTAGGGTTTCCTCACGATGTTTTCCTTCACCGTTTGTCAGTGGTGTCTAGATAATCTTAGAAAGTACATATAACTCGGTAAATAAAGTCACATTGGTATTTGCTGTTTGTAGGTTTCGCATCCGCACCCTCTTGCATGAAAAGCGGGCGTCTTAAACCTCCGGGCCACCACGACACATGAAGACTCGGTAGTCGGTATGCCACCAGTAGATTCACAGAAATACATAAATACTTATTAATGCTTTACTATAATTATTAATCTGACATCTGGATTAACCAGTTTAAAACTTTTTCAATTAATTTTTAATGCATCCGACCGGTCGACCGGTGCGGTGTGTCAAGATAATTAAATAATACAATGAAATATGACATCCGATATAATTACTAGTAGTCTGTTGCTAACGTAAAATTAGCGTTAATTTCTTATAATTTTAATGCTTTGTTTTAACCACAAATCAGAGCTAAGCCAGCCCAAAGGTAGGTACTTTTTTATGGAATAGGAGGCAAACGAGCAGACGGATTACCTGTGGGCTTACTATTGAATCCAATTCCGATCGATCGACATTGGTATTGCGAAATTTCGTACTCTCGAGTTGCAATACTAGCGCCTATTGCATCCATATTGCGTGAATATTTAATGAAATAAATGGTATTGAGTCCGACTTTATATTCCGTACTCTGAATGCTATTTTAATAGCTACAATAGGGGTTGTATAATTTTGACATTGAATACTTATTGGATTGAAATTGTATTGACATTGAGATCGGTTTCAAGAGTAAGCATCCTGATGGTAAGCGATCAGCGCCGCCCATGGACACCCACAACACCAGAGGAGTCACAGGTGCGTTGCCGGCCTAGTACTGTTCCACGTGCTAATTTCAAGCTCGAAAGCATGCTTCAATCGACCACTTGTCACTTCGTAGCATGTGTGTCGGAATGTTGCTCATACTGCTCAAAATTAGCTCATTTCATGTTTCCAAATCGACAGGTGTTCAACTTTTGAGCATGCTCAATAGAACGTTTTTAGCTTCCTATTTTAAAAATGACTGGATTAATAAATAATATGATTTAGGTACTAGATTGTAGGTAGTAGATTAAATAATATTACATGGGACTCATAACGTAAATATTGAAAAGTGGGTGTTATATTGTACAGTGGCATAATGTACACCTCTGCCTACCCCTTCGGGGATAAAAGGCGTGATGTTGTGAGTGATTTAGGTACCTTCGCTGAAAACCACAATTTTATAAGATTTAAACCTAGCCTTTAACGTCTACAATTTAACGTTTTTTGACCTCCTAAATCATCGCGCGAAGCGGTAGCCCTTCGCGGATAAAAGGGCATGCGCAGAGGTGCACTTTACGGCACTTAACGCCACTTTTCACTATTTATGTTACGAGTCCCATGTAAACAGGGGGTGAGTCACCCCCCAATAGCATCATTCGAAACACAACGCTTGCGTTGTGTTTCGTCGTTGCTTCACGTCGGTTTTATAACTCCGGTGGAGCCGGCCCATTCTTGCCGAAGCATAACTCTCCCACACAAATTACGATTGTGTAAAGTTTACATACAATATAATATTATAAACCGGTTGATTGGTCATCTGATGACCTAGACTGGTTATATTACCTTGATTAAAGGTCAAATATTGCAGTGTAATTACGATGCCATTTTTAGGCAACTTTTAATAAATAAATATTGGGATTTTGATCTTAATAATAATTCATGTATTTACAATATCGTGGTGAACCGGAAGCTGTTTATTTTTTAAATAAGGTGGAATAATCATCGAATGACTTCTCCCGCCTGGGTGAGGCGGGAGGGAGTGTCAGACTCTTACTGACTAAAAACCTCCCCGTTTCTACTCATTCACTTTTAGCCGGAGCCCCGGTAACCCGTTAGGTTCTCCGCGACTCCGAATGGCCGGAGGCTTAACACGCGCTTCTCATGCATAAGAAGCGGGCTCGAAACCTACCAACGGCAAGTACCAATGTGATTTTTTCCGCGTTATATGTACTTTCTAAGATTATTAAGACCCCACTGACAAACGGTGAAGGGAAACATCGTGAGGAAAACCTACGTTTATAATTTTTAATTATAAGTTTGAAATCTCCAACCCGCATTGAGCAAGCGTGGTTATTAATGCTCAAACCTTTTCCGTGTGAGAAGAGGCTTTTGGTCAGCAGTGGCCACTTATAGGCTGTTGATGTGTCTTTGTGATGTGAAGTATTTACATGCAGTTTTTGTTCGTCAGAGAGATGAAAGAGCAAGTATATAAGTTTGTAATTTGCCTTTCTTAGCAGGATTTGTCTTGGCATTCATGGTCCGAGATGGAGTCAGGACAAATCCTTACATTTCTCTGCAGCCAGATATTATGTTCAGATACAGAGCGACCCGTTTATTGAGCAGAATAACACACAAAAACAAGTATTACTAACTATGAATAGAGATATAGAATAATGACATTCATTAAGTTGACTCGTGTAAAAGAAATTAAAGAAAACATTACGACTTTTATCAGGAATATGTTGGCAGAGGCGCACATTACGGCACTTAATGACACTGTACAATAACACCCACTTTCCCAGTGGCGAAACTACAGGGTGGCAAGTTGGCAAACCGCCAAGGGCCTCCAGCTAGAAGATGCCCCGAGCCCTGATGTTCAGAGCTTTCATCAAAACTTCTCTGTTTTATTGGAAACGGGAGCCCATCCGATAAATTTGTCACGGGCCCCGAACGGTATAGTTACGCCACTGCACTTTCCACTATTTATGTTATGAAATTATTAAAGAAATAATTAGAGAAAAATACACCAGAATACTAACAGCACGAAGTTATCATTTACGCAAAGACGGATTCAATTTAGGCAAGCACCTCATAGGGGCCCCTAATTTTATTGGCGCCGCCGTCACTTTATGGACAGTCGGGTGCGTGCGTCTCGCGGCGCCCGTTACAACCTGGCGCCCAGCACTTGCCTAATTTGTCTTAATACGTCTCTGTATTAAGTGCCTTTAGCCAAACGCCACTTTAGCGCTTGTCTACAGAGAGAGTAGAAATCAAAATGTATGGGGATGACACTGACAAGTGTCAAAATTTACGTCAATTCCATATAATTTGGTTTTCTATTCTACATGTAGACAAGCGCTAAATGGCATTTGGCTACAGCTGAAGGTGATACAAGAACACCTTATAGTAAGTAGTTTAATAATAGTGGACAGTATAATTTAAAACGAAATAAGGAAAACCAGATAAGAAAGTATGATAAAATTCTAAAATTTAGCACCAGAACACAGCTGTCTTCGTCTTGCCGGCAGGTAAACTGTTAAACAAGTAACCAATGTTATTATAAAAAAATCTAGAATTCTACTTTAAAATTACAAGGGGCTAGTTCATTTTTCTTTAAACATAAC